TCCGAATCCTTAGTATTCATAAAAGAGTAGTCGAGAATTACCTGGTGACGTACTAATTCTCACAAGATTCGGACACGCATCTACTTAAAGTGCGTCCGAAACTGCCTACTTCTCTGCTATATAGTAGGGGAAAAGCAGCAGGCGAGCGAATAAGTATGTCCGAAACCTCAGTATTCATAAAAGAGTAGTCGAGAAGTTCCCGGATGTCCTACTGCTTCTGCCCAGCTTCTTGAGTGCTCGCCGACGGTTACGTTTCTATCCCAGGAGGTCACGCGAGAGGATACATCATAAAGAAGAAGAAGAGGATGCGTCATAATCGAACATGATGGAAAATTTGGATGAGGGCGTTTACAAATGTAAGTATTACAAACCAAAAACACGGTTCCTTATTTTAAATTTGCATCTGTTGAACTACTTTAGAGCAAATTGTTGAAAGTGTAAAGATGCTAAATGGTATAGTATAGTTGTGATGTTGCTGTAAAAGCACGTAGTATAGCTAACAGGGGGGCTCCAGTAGCACACGTACATCTCCAAAGTAGATTTACATATATTTTAAACCATATACATCTTAAATACGATTACTAAATGTCTATTTAATATCTGGTAGGAGAATCTTCGATATGAATTTCATAGAAGTAACTTATGTCTAATAGGTCCTAGATATGAAGTAGAGATCTGAGTGATGTATATGTATGTTATTCTGTAGTACAATTCACTGTTGTCAGCACTGTTTGCAATAGGTGAATGTAAGTAATGTAAATACATTTACATAAAGTAACTAAATATAAGTAATCTATTTTATTTGTCCATTAGTACTGTTGAAAAATTGAGGAACATTTGTGTTGGATAAAAAGCTACTTAACACTACTTAATACTTTTGAGCAGACAAATCTCAGCGGTAACTTGACTCTTGTCTGGATGCTACAGGGACAGATGAGCACACACGTCTGCTTATCCGGTGGAGAGCGGCTAATGAAGCCCTCTTCACCAGAAAGCGGAATGCTGCCATCAAAGGCTTTGAGTGAGTATACTACAGAAATGAATAAAAAATCTGTTGAAATCTTAAGTTGTAGTTTATTTCAATTAATGTAATTTCAAACAGAGTTATCACAGCAATTTTCTGATTCTTGATTCCTGTGCATTTGCTGCAGAACTTTTGTGGTGAAGCAGGACCTGCAAGGCAAGGTGACGGCGGCATTTGTGGAAAAAAAGGGAAAACCTGAAACAAAAAATATAAAAAAAATACCTTCTGATATATATTGTGAAATGACCATCATGGCATCTTCATTAAAATTGCAGGTAATGAGTTCTGTTTG